TCCCCAGCCAGCCATGCTGGGTGGGGAATTCTGGGAGTTGAAGTCCACACATCTTAAAGTTCCCATGGTTGAGAAACACTGCACTAGACCAAGCTACCTATCCTTTGACTGCCCTTTTAGGACGTAGCCATTATTAGGGATGGGTTAAATGCCAGTGCTCAGTTGTGTATAGATTTAATCAAGCTAGATTAATGGTCTGATCCACCAGAGGAACGGGGGAAGCTATGCTGTAGTATGTAGAGGGTGCACAAATCAATAGTTCTCCAGCTTATTTTATTTGTGGTTAGTGAACCACAAACATTGTGGTTAGTGAACCGTGATTGATGGAGTGCGGTGCAAACTCGGCCAACCGCGTTTTATTCCACCGAGCATCAGCAAGGCGCATTGTAGCTTAGAGCAACGGGGAAGTCCTTTTTCAGATCGTGAAGTGGAGAGGCAGGGTGGCTTCTCAGCAGTAGAAACCCCCCGCCCTCAGCTAAAAAAAATCCACCCCTCTGAGAAACGCACCCAGCAGAAAAACAGAAAGTTTCAAGGTTGATGAAATCCGTACTGTTTTCAGTCTGAACTCAACCCAATCCAACGGAGATCCTCAAATCTCCTGAAAGATCTCCCTTCCTGTTTTGCAACAACCTGGTGCGTGGAAATGGGGCGATAAGTCACATTTAGGGGAAATGTTTGTCTGGTCAATGTCTGTCTCTTAACAAACAGAGGAGGAAGGTGGATTAAACAAGGCTACGGGCCGAAAACACACTTTCCCCCTACACGGGAAGCCTCCTCTCTCCCGCGGCGTGTTTACACCATACGCTCCTCTCCGATTCCAAGAATCTCTTCCCTTGTTGTGCAGTTCAAAGCGCCTGCCCGTGTTATTCTGAAAAGCAAAGCTGGGTCTTGGCCAGGCTGGGAAAAACGAACTGACGTTGCGGCTTCATGTTTATCTGCCTTGATGGAAGATAACAGGCACGCAGCTGGCTTTGCTGGAACGGACTCAAAAATCCCCACCAAAACTTGTCAACAGCCTCCCCCCACATCTGCATGGGTCTGAGACCAAAAATACAGGTGCAAACATTCTGTGGACTTTGAATTTTTCATCCGGGCCAATGATCTAGAGCTTCCCACCCAGAACTGAGTTTTCTGACAACAGGACAACTGAAAAACGTTGTGTCAGAATGATTCGTAAGAGTCAGAATCGATGATTCCAGCAAAAGAGCTGTTGGAGTTAATATTACAGCCTCAACCCCTTGAGAATTATTGTTTCTTTTCCTCTCTTCATCCCCCTTTTCTTTTCTTTTTGTTCCTTCCTTCCTTCGAGATAAACAAAGCAAGTTCCTAGCCCTCAAGACAGCAGGGACAAAGTTGGAACCGGATAGATCTGGACGGAGTAAGATTTCTAGAGATCAAAGAGTAGGTTTAGCGAATGGCCCTGTTGCTTCCCCCCCCCCCTTGTTGGGACGAGAAGAAACAAATTGAGTAGAAAAGGAGCAAAAGAAAATCAGATTGATGTACCTCTCTCTTAAGCAGTGTTTCTCAACTTTGGAAAGTTTAAGACGTCTGGACTTCAACTCCCAGAATTCCCCATGCTGGCTGGGGAATTCTGGGAGTTGAAGTCCA